TTGAATAAAATTGAATTGTATTGAATTGAATTGAATTGAATTGAATTGAATTAAATTGAATTAAATTGAATCAAATTGAATAAAATTGAATCAAATTAAATCAAATTAAATCAAATTGAATAAAATTGAATTGTATTGAATTGAATTGAATTGAATTAAATTGAATAAAATTGAATCAAATTGAATCAAATTGAATAAAATTGAATAAAATTAAATCAAATTGAATAAAATTGAATAAAATTGAATTGTATTGAATTGAATTTAATTTAATTAAATTGAATTAAATCTTTTCGAGTTGAATCTTTCTATTTCAATATTTTAACAGCGACACTTACTCCGTGTTCGACGAGTATACTCGTTCTGAAAATGAGGCGCCGCAGCTTAACTGGTCGAATGCCTGAATTTTCCCTCTCCGATCGATTTCCCAGCACAATAATTTGTCGCGATTCTTTCGTCGGCGTTCCTCGCGATTCCTCTGCGCCCTATTATTCCTCCCTGCGTGCCAGCTGTTCGGATAGTAGGCGGCTCCCTTTTCCGCGATTTCGCGAGCACGAGACGAGCTCCCATAAGCCAGCCGCCACTGACCTATACCGCAGCCTCGTAACACGGACGAGAGGGAAAATCTTCTCCGAGAGAAGGGATCCGCCATTCTCTCCTTTCGTAGTACACCCAGACACACTTATGACCCGGATAGTGAATATGGCAGTCGGGTAACATCCACGGTCTCATCCCGAGCGAACATCTCTATTTGACCGTCAACGTTAGTACGCGTGTTCCTCGTGGCCTAGCCTGCGACCGCGGAGATCGAGATCCTCCTCGTCTTCCCGTTTCTGTTCCCGTCGAAATCCACGTCTCCTCTTCTTGTTCTTGTTCGCGCCGCTTTCCGCCGATGTGAACAACCTATCCGGGAGCCAAGAGTCAGTGGGTCACCTTGAGGAACACTTTTACCCGCCTTCGGAAAGCCATCAGGTAATCGGAATCGAACGGAGATTTCGGGAATTCCGCGACCGTCCGGTAACCGGTCAATTTCGTCGTTTTCGTCGTTTCGGTCTCCCGTGGGTGGATAATGTTTTTTTTTTAACATTTTCACAAACTTTTGTCGCGATGGACACGCGTGAAAACGAAAGTCTGCTTCGCGGATTCCGATTGCGAAATTATTTCAATTGCGCTCGATTTTTTAGCGTTTAGCTAATTACAATTGTTCGTTGGCACGCACGTGGCTCTTTTCGTGAAAATTAGGCGAATTCTGTGTGCAGTAAATTTTCTCCAATTTTCCTTCAGCTTGTGAACAAAACTGGAGCATCGCGCGAGTCATTTTTATAGTCGGCGATTGTGAACAATTATAAAAACGGCGCGCAGGGCTCGAATAATCGAATAATTCTATTCTTAACAAATTATCCATTTTTGTTTACAAGCTGAAGGAAAATTTACTGTACTTTGTTTATTGGAAATATTCCGTAGCGATCGCGGTGCATTTTATGAAATTTTGCGACCCGCCGCGTTGCGAATTAAATCAAAAGTACCATTGACATTTTTCTGATAATAATTAACGCGATTTATATTTATCTTATTACCAAAAATTACAATTACAATTTTATTCGAAGACATCGCAAGAATGAAGCTTGTCACAGCGACAATTTGTCAAAAAAACAAAGTTTCCGATTTAATCAGCCGATCTTCCCTCTTTCGTAAAATCACCCCTGCCGTTTCTCAATTAACTCGATGCACAGATTAGATATCTTCGCATTTAAAATTAGCACGGATCAGTGTACATTTAATTTCTATTGTTTACGATCTACGTCGAGATAGATCAGCTGCAACGGCGTCGAGTTCAAAATAATAGTATGCAATTAAAGGTGTTTGGCTCGCGCGAACAATGGCAGATCATTTTGATCGGAGCCGATGTTGGAAACGGGCGATCGACTTTGAATAATAATCGCGGGTTTGCGATCATTCCAGATAGCTTTTGTTGGGCATATCTCGGGGGAAAGTAATCACGAGGAGTCGTCGTCACCTTGAAAGTCGTTACACCGCAGCTTCGATCTCGAGAGAGGTTCGCTTTCCTTTAGAATTCGCTGTATTCCCGCGCCCGCCGTATCTACGTCGGCGCGCTAATTGAACGTTACACGCGTTTCCCGGGCAGAAAATTATGCAAGCCGCCGTGCAGAGATTATCGCTTGATTGAATTTTCGAAGCGACCGTCCCGCCAGCAATTTGCTATCAAACGTAGAATTACCGGAATAATTTACATTTTACACGATCGACTTCCGTGTTTGCCCGCAGGCAGATGTTTCGACCAAAACATTCTACCTTTGTCACAATTGTTACAATTTTGTAACCATTTCTTAAATAAGAGATTCTAGAATTTTATTTTTTAAAGCACAGCGTCAAATCTTTGAAATTGATTTTTAATTCATGAAAAATGAATCTAGATTTTATTATAATCCTTGTTTATTTTTTAATCTGTTAGATTATTAGATTGTCATAGTTATAGTAAATTGAAAATATCAAGTTAATAATATTGATTATGTTATTATAATAATTCTATATTTATTATGTTAATTATGTTGTACTAATTTTGTTATATTAATTCTATTATATTAATTCTGATATATTAATTCTATTATGTTCATTCTATTATATTAATTCTATTATGTTCATTCAATTATATTAATTCTATTATATTCATTCTATTATGTTCATTCAATTATATTAGTTCTATTATATTCATTCTAATATATTAATTCTATTATATTCATTCTATTATATTAATTCCGTTATATTAATTCTATTATGTTCATTCTATTATATTAATTCCGTTATATTAATTCTATTATATTCATTCTATTATATTCATTCTATTACAATTCATTCTATTATATTAATTCTATTATATTCATTCTAATATATTAATTCTATTATATTCATTCTATTATGTTCATTCAATTATATTAGTTCTATTATATTCATTCTAATATATTAATTCTATTATATTCATTCTATTACATTCATTCTACTATATTAATTCTATTATATTTATTCTAATATATTCATTCTATTATATTCATTCTATTATATTAATTATATTATCAAATATGAGGTATCAAAACGAAAATTAGATTAAAACAATGATATATATAGCAATTTGAAGATATCAGCAACGTATTTGAGTTCGGAATATTAGCATAACAATAAACAGTGTACACCGTGAAATATTTCTAAAATGGCGTAGGGGGAGTAAATACGAGAATCGGTTGCAAAGATGGCGTAAGAAAAGTAGCTGATATCCTTTTGAAATAAACGTTCGATCATGGTCCACCGTCGGCGGCGCATTGCTCGAACCGCGATCTCGAACAAGAAAGAGCACACAGGCAGAGGCGCATCGATAGGAAAGTAACGATAATTGTAGAATCGTGTCACGATATCGCCAAGTATGGTACACCATTCCAATCGCATGTCGCGCCCGCCATTCTCTCGCTCCAGTGACTTTCATGGGGCACGGCGCATCGCAAAAATTTATTGCAAATCGAGCGGCGCTGCAGCAGCAGCAGCTGATTACACGTCGACCAATTTGTTATATCAGTGGCCTCGCGATCATTCATAAATAGACTGCTATCGATCTCCTCTTTTAGAGTGGAAATTAATAATTTATGAAATATTTACTATAATATTTAATATAAATAATAATTTAACAAATAGATAATTTAATATAATAAGATTAATATAAATAATATTTAATATAAAAATTTACTATAAATTAGTAATTTATAATCTATGAACGCAGTCATCGAGTATGAATATTTGCAAATGTCAGAGAAGTGCTCTGTTGTAAACAATAATTAGAAGCAATAGAACATATTTTTCGTTGCTATCTTTCATTCTTAAAATGCAGTGAAAAGTTTCTGCGAAAAATTGAAATTCATTTTTACTGTAATATATTGGCAGATTGTTAATATGCACCGTGGTCGTATTATTAACAATATTGAACGAACGAAAATTCACTTGTTAGCAACGTCGAGCTATGTATTGTTTTCTAAAATAATATTGGTTCTAAGATTAATAGTATAAGATATCTCTATATATTAATTCAACTTTATACAAATAATCTTTAAAAATTTACCAAAAGATTCAACGCGCGAAAAATCCCCTATAATAAATATTTAATTATACAATTTCTTAAATAATTAAATTAACATATAAAACTTTACTTACAAATATAACCCTCTCTAATTAATATTTTATATTAAAATTTATAAACTTTGCCTGTATATTACCCCTAATTAGATTTATTTATATATTATTTATTTTTATATATTTTCTTATAATTCAATATATAATTTTAAAACTTTAATAATCAATAATACAATTATTAAAATAATATTTAAATTTATATAATACTATTTGTAGGTAATTATTTGTAATCGAAACACTTGCGGTTAAAATATGTGAATATGAAATTCGGTTTCTAAAGTTTCTATTACAAAATCTGAATTAATATAATATAATTAATACAACATAATAATATAATTAATATGATTAACTTCACGTTTCCAATTTACTACAATTATTACAATCTAATAATCTAACAGATTAAAAAGTGAACGACGATTATAATAAAAATCTAAATTTACGTTTCTTGAATAAAGAATCAATTTAAAAAATTGTGATGTTGTGCTCTAAGAGCGCTGCTCACGAAAGAAGAGCCTTTCAATAAAATTCTAAAATAAGAAACTGATCGTTTCGGCCGTGGTAGATTCAACGACGACAACAATTTATGGTGGGCGGTTGAAAATCTGATTCAATACCGATTGCGCAACGCGCTTATCAAATTGAACGTCGCCCGGGGTGTTCGTTCGATCGCTGGATCGCCGCGCATCTGCCGGGGCAAGCAGGGGACGCCACGTTGAACTTCGGTTGAGAAATCGGTCAACGAAGGCCGTCGATCGCTTTGGAATCATTGTATCGCACAGCACACGCAACGGAATCTCCTTTCTTTTCAGGCATGGCGAACGTGCTGCCGTGGCTGATGTCGATGTGCCTCCTTGGCGTGCGGGAGCTCTCCTCGCCACCTGGAAGCAACGCGCTTTCACGCGATCTTGAAACGCCCGGCCAGAGGAGTGTGTCTCCGGGGTTCCGCTCGGTATGGATCGCTTTTCCCTTGCGCAACCGACTGATGAAGATCAGCTTCCTGTCGTAATAACCGCGGCGATAACGGCAGAAACCGCTACTGTTTTCACGGAACGCGAATTCCGCGTTTACGCGCCTCGCTCTCGCCCGTTCTTTTCTTTTCTCGCGCAACGAAATTGCTTCGTTCTCTTCTCAACCCGTTCACATACAAATAGAACGGAATTTGACGCGACCGAAATATATTGTTTAACCGATATTAACCCTTAGCGCTCCGGCACGTTTTTGGAGCAAAGCGCCCGAGATAAAGGAAGTCTTATTTTGAGCGGAAAAGATTACGCGTCCTTGCGAAAGCGTTCGATTCTATTCATTTTATGTTGCTAAGTATAAAAATGGGCAAAGAATGTTTTAATCGTAATGGTATCTAATTAACATTGTGCGAGGTCGGTGCATCGACATCGTGAATTGTGACCGAAATTTCTGAGCAGCAAATGCATCCACATCGAAATGGGTAAATTTACTATCAATGATATTCTTCGCTATTCTTAAATAAATATATCCCTCGTGTTCTTTGACGCGATTTATTGTAAAATTAGCATCGCGAATCGCCCGTTGAATTCTATTTGGATACGGAATTATCGAAACAAAAATATCTTTTGCGCGAGTTTGCCGGAATTGTTTTATCGTTAATCTTCACTGGAATCGGCTCGATTAATAATGCAATTAAATTAAAAATTAGGAAATATTCTTCGGACGTTCTAAAATAAAGTTGAACAGCGTTTTTCTGAAAAATATCACTACCGGCAACTCCGGCATATTTTTGGAGCAAAACGCCCGAGATAAAGGAAGTCTTATTTTGAGCGGAAAAGATTACGCGTCCTTGCGAAAGCGTTTGATTCTATTCATTTTACGTTGCTAAGTATAAAAATGGGCAAAAAATGTTTTAATCGTAATGGTAGACGCGCTAAGCACGTTTTCGCTACAAATAACAATTTCCAACGTCGACAAAAACATAGCATCTTCGGTGTAATCATGCTAAAAGCATTGGGCTCCGCAGCAAAGCCTTCGGATTTAGGGAACAAATGACGGATGTCTCCATAGCGGAGCCAACGGAGCGCCAAGGATTAACTACCACTTAGTGTAAATCAAGTAAAACATAAATATGATAAATATGAACGAACATTTGGATTTCGCGGTGGATGAAATATTTGAAACGATTTCGATGAAATATTCTTCCTCGCCGTTGTCCAGTCCCTGAGGAACTACAAGACGCTCATCTCGGGCCACGACGAGCTTCCTGGCCACATAAACTGCCCCGGCCACGGGGACACCGTGTCGACTTTAGAGAACTCGGTGGACAGATTGTTACCCACCACTCCGGAGTACAATAATCATCTGTACGGTTCAACGCCGGACTCGAGCAACTACTTCTCCCGGAATTTCGACAGAAGCGGGATTCAGTCAAGGCCGATCGGAAGGAACCTGAACTTATTCAAGGCGGACCCTTACACGGTGAACCAACTCGAGACGCACGGGTTCAATTACGATCCTGGCCGAGATCACGTGGAGGACGATTATGTCGGCCCTGCCATGGAACTAGTAAGATGCTCCCATGTTTTCGAAGATTAGTACGAACGGTACTATCGAGCAATATCTAGATTTCTAAGGCACAGAGAATAGTAAATTAGAAATTGTTTGTATCTAAAATGGGTGTTTAAATTAAGAAAAAATTCGATCAGGCTGCTTTCAATGCCTAACAATTTTGCAATTGGTACAATAATGTACCATAGGTAGTAATAATGCAGTAATATGTGTAATTATAGTTGTACTTAACCCATGCGAGAGTTAATGGTACAAATATCTCAAGATTTCTAAGGCACAGAGAATAGTAAATTAGAAATTATCTGTATCTAAAATGGGTGTTCAGATTAAGAAAAAATTCGATCAGGGTGCTTTCAGCGCCTAACAATTTTACAATTGGTACAATAATGTACCATACGTAGTAATAATGCAGTAATATGTAATTATAGTTGCACTTAACCCAAGCGAGAGTTAATGCTAGAGATATCTTAAGATTTCTAAACCACAAAGAATAGTGAATTAGAAATTTTCTGTATCTAAAATGGGTGTTCAGATTAAGAAAAAATTCGATCAGGGTGCTTTCAGCGCCTAACAATTTTACAATTGGTACAATAATGTACCATACGTAGTAATAATGCAGTAATATGTAATTATAGTTGTACTTAATTAGGATATAGATCGCGTAAAATTAATTGCCGCAGGTCTACGCCTGGTCCACTGTCGATTTTACGTACGACAGCGTCGAGGCCAGGGATTCAGCCATTTACGACGGAGACTTCATAGCGGAAAACAATTTACCTCTCGGTCTTGACGTCTGGAGGGAGAAGGTGTTCATTACGCTTCCTAAGTGGAAGGAAGGTATCCCGGTCACCTTGGCCACCGTGCCTAGACACTCGAAGACGAAGAGCCCGAAGTTGAGGCCTTATCCTGACTGGAGTTGGAATCGATCAGGTTACTGGAATAATTTTCTCAGCTCAGTTTTCTATATATTTACACTCTTTTATAAGGACAAAATTAAATAGTATAGTAAATTCTCCCTAATTGACGCTCAGCTTGGATACAAAAATGGACAATTTTGGAAGAGGAGTTACGATTGTTCGAGCCTTGTGGCTCGTTTTTTATGGTTATCGATTGTCAGCAACTATAAAAACGAGTTGCAAGGCTCGAATAATCGTATCTCCTCTTCCCAAATTGTCTATTTTTCTGCACAATTTCGGCGACAATTAGGGAGACATTACTGTATAGTAAATAAGTATATAGTATATAGTATAGTAAGTATAGTAAGTATATAGTAATAGTATATATTAATTATACTAATTAATTATACTATATATTATTAAATAATAGTATATATTATAATACTAATAATATATATACTATAGTAGTAGTATACATATATAATATATATATAGTATAATACTAATAATAGTATATAGTATAGTAAGTATAGTAAGTATATAGTATAGTAAATAAATATAGTTATATGTATAGTAAATTCTCCCTAATTGACGCTCAGGTTGTACACGAACATGGACAACTTGGGAAGAGGAGATTTAATTATTCGAGCTTTGCACCGCGTTTTTATAATTGTTAACAATCGGCAATTATAAAAACGAGCAGCAAGACTGAAATAATCGTATTTCCTTCTCCCAAACTGTAATTGTTTCTCCCAAAGTGTAATTTTGCCTACAATCTGAGCGTCAATTGGAGAAAATTTACTGTACAGGGTGTCCCAAAAATGTCTTGCAATCCGAAAATGGAGGGTTCCTGAGGTCATTCGAAGTAACTTTTTCTGTAGCGAAAATGCAATCCGCGGTTTGCATGCAAACGCAAATCCTTATGCAAAATTCGCCACAAATTGCCATAAGAAATGTTCGATTCTTATGAACGACATGGAATTTATGTCAATGGTCCATTAGCAACACTTTCACGAACGGCAATAATGTTTTCGTTCGAATGAGTCGTTTTCGGTCTGCCAGACTTTGGTTTATCATGAACGGATTCGGTTTTATCAAATTTTTCAACCAAATTTCGAATTGTTTGCTCAGACGAACGATTAAAAAATACCGAAAAAATCATGTAATTTACGATGGATATTTTTTATTTTAGACACTAATTTTTAACACTTAGCCAACCGAAGGGGGAGATCTCCCCGTTTTAAATTCAGTCGATTGATAATTAATGAAAAATTAAAAATGATTGCTTAATTTTATTAACATTTGCAAGAGATACGAATGCTGAAGAAGTAATCGATGCCATATAAGTTTGCTTCATAATTTTTGTTTAATCTTTATATTTTATATTAAAATTTAAACACTTTGCCTGTATATTACTCCTAATTAGAATTATTTAAATATATATCTTATATTTATTTTCATATATTCTCTTATAATTCAATATATAATTTTTAAATTTTAATAATCAATAATACAATTATTAAAATACTATTTAAATTTATATAATATTATTTGTAGAATTAATATAACATAATAATATAATCAATATGATTAACTTGACGTTTCCAATTTACTACAATTATTATAATCTAATAATCTAACAGATTAAAAAGTGAACGACGATTATAATAAAAATCTAAATTTACGTTTCTTGAATGAAGAATCAATTTAAAAAATTGTGACGTTGTGCTCTAAGAGCGCAAAAAGAAAAATTCTAAAATAAGAGAGAGAGAGAGAGAGAGAGAGAGAGAGAGAAACTGATCGTTTCAACCGTGGTAGATTCAGCGACGACAACAATTTATGGTCGGCGATTGGAAATCTGATTCAATACCGATTGAATATATGATATAAAATTGTTTAGATTTCTAACGCGGTCGTGGAAGTGTTAAAATAAATTTCAACAACCTCAACACGCTCTCCAGTCTCTTAATTCCATCGTTAAAATTGTCAATCATTGTAGGTTAGAAAAAAAAAAGAAAGCGATATACATACTCTGAATAACCCTGTAGAAAAAATTCCTTTTTTGCTGCGCATTCGTCCACGTAGATTTCTACGCTTGTCTTTCTGCGCCGTTTATTTTCCCTCTCGAGCATGCTTCGTCATGACAACCGTTCACCGGCGATAAAACCTCTTTGCTGCGACTTGTCACAATACACTCGTTTCGGAGAAACTACATTATGTACTCTAACAACAAGTATCTGTTGGCGCGTAGACCGTTCTCCTTCACCTTTCTGTAGTTTTCTGCATTCGTGAGTTTTTTCTCTCTGAACTCACTTCAGCAATGATCATTCTGAAAAATCGATCTCGAATACTAATCGATCCTTCGACACCTTTGCTCTTCACTGTACGGTAAACGGACAATTTTGAAACAGGAGGTACGACGACATAACCTCGCTTTTGTAATTACTGAGTCGGAGTCGGTAACTATAAAAACTAGCCGCAGGGCTCAAACAATCCTCTTCCAAAAATCGTCCATTATTGTTTCCAAGCTGAACATCAATTAAGAAGAATTTACTCTAACCGGTATATCATCTTCCAGGTAACTGCGAGGGTCTAACCTCCGTCTTCAGGGTCCAAGTGGACGAGTGCGACCGTCTATGGGTGCTGGACTCCGGCAAGACGGAGATCTCGACCGGCGGCAAGCAGGCGTGTCCGCCGGCGATCTTCGTCTTCGACCTGCTCACGGACACGCTGATCAGGAAGTACACGTTCCCTGATGACCAGGTGAAGCAGGATTCTCTGTACGCGAACATCGTCGTGGACATCAGGGACGAGGAGTGCGACACGGCCGTGGCTTACGCGGCGGACGTCTTCAGATACGGTCTGCTGGTCTACGACTTCCTGAAGGACTCGTCGTTCCGGGTCCAGCACCACCTGTTCTTCCCGGACCCCCTCGCGTCCAAATACGATATCCACGGCGTGAAGTTCCAGTGGACGGACGGGATCTTCGGGATCGCTTTGAGCCCGGTCGACATCCACGACGACAGGACCCTGTTCTTCCATCCGATGTCGAGCTTCCGGGAGTTCGCCGTGTCCACGTCTGTCTTCAGGGACAAGAGGACCGCCGATACGAGCACCGACCTCTTCATGCCCATCGGCCGGCCCAGGGCCAAGGACTACGGCCACTCGTCGGGGTCCGTGGTGGACCGGAACGGCGTGATGTTCTTCAACATGGTCACCAGGGACTCCGTCTGGTGCTGGGACACCAGGAAAGAGTACATACCGCAGAACCTAGGCGTGATCGGCACCAGCAACCTGTCGCTCGTCTTCCCGAACGACATCAAGGTCGACCACGAGTACGAGCAAAGCGTGTGGATGCTGTCGAACCAGCTGGCCATGTACCTCTACGGCAGCGTCGACAACAGCAAGGTCAATTACAGAGTGTTCAAGGCTAACGTCAAGGAGGCGGTCAAGGACACTGTTTGCGACCCGAATTACATCGTGCCGGGCAACGAACACGGCTACGACGAAACCTGCTAGGGGTGCTGAAAGAAATTCTTCTTTCTCTTCATCATCTTCTTTTCCTTCTTCTTCTTCTTCATCTTCTTTTTCTTCTTCTTCTTCTTCTAGGCAAGTGTTTCCCGAGACATTTACAGCGTCGGATCAACGAGGCATTTTGTACGAAAGACATGTTCCTTTTAGTTAAGAGATTTATTGAGATAAGAGGCTGGTCACGACGGCGCCCGAGTTTCTCACGATTCACGACCGAAATATTCGGCATTTACAGACCGCGGATTTTATGGATTTGTTAGAAAGTGAGTGGAACTTCAGATACATAGCAAGGAGATTGAAAGAATTTAACACTAGATCTACCGAGCTCTTAACGAGTCTGTTGTATATTGTTTTGTAACAATGTCAAGATTTATTTAAGCTTCGTGCGATTTCTATCATAATCTGGATAAAGAAGTTTATCTAAAAATTTCTCCCACAAACATTTCTATAACATCAAGAATTGTAAAAGAAAAAATCAGAGACTAGTCATTTTAACTGGTTTGGTAGTTCTAGCGTTAAGAATGGCTATGTAAATTATCGAAGAAGGGGCAGATTTTCTATTCTGAGAGGTCAAAAATGTTCAGGAGACTTTTCCGCGTCTGTATTATTCAAAACAAATTTATGTATTATTGTAAATACAGAGAACGGATGATTCTTGGCAGTATTCCCATAAGGTACCATATAAAATCCGGCACGAATCATCTGCTCCTGAATCATCTGCGCCACTACACGTAGTGGCAAAACGCTCGAACTGTTCGCCATAATTATCGGCAGATGATGATTCTGAAGATTTAAAATTTCTACACGGGTGGCATCACTATGTTAATCAACTAAAGATTCGTTGTTTATTAAAAATATTTAAAAATTATCATCTGCGGATGATTTTGGCGAGCAGCGTAAACAGCGGTTTATACGGTACCTTATGAAAATATGTGCAAGAATCTTTCGTTCGCTATATTTACAATGATAAATTAATTTATTTTACATGATAGAAATGCTAGATAGTTTGCTGATGATTTCTGTACCCTCCGAATATTCTCTAGACATTAAATTTCTCCAATAAAAATAATTTAAAAAACAGTGGAATTGTGCTCTGAATGAAAACTGAAGCATTAAAAAGTTAAACAATCAACAGATGAATAGAACTAAAATTTCATTAATAATCAGGCATTTTGCATAATAATAATTCTATTCTACAAAGCGATCGAGAAAACTATGCAACAGGCGAAAGCTTATTGTTAACCAAATGCAACATGAAAGGCGTGCTATCCGATGAATTATTCTGTTACAAAGTATGTATCACGAGGTGAAAGTGTTTCCCAGTGTCATCAGTCCTAGATATAGTTGATCACGAACCGTATAAAATATCGTATTTCAGTTTAAAAGTAGGGTAAAGCGTAAGGCGAACGAACTGAAGAGAACTTGTATTATGTATGTTTAAAACAAATTTATTTGTTTTTTCAATACAAAGAGCCAGTAAATGCTATACTAATAATTGTCGTCTGCTAACAGAGAAACGAAAGAAATAAATGGAAATAAAATGACTGGCTATGTACATTCCGATCTTACAATGAATCGAGCACAACATCCAAGCAACAACACTTAAGTATACATAAAGCGGACTAACTTACGATGAAGTGGCGCAACAGTTTCATCCGTGGCGTCGGTCTCGCAAAATTTACATCACGACGAAATCACATGCGAGACATAATCCACTCGGATGATCTATTACGTAGTACGCACAATAAATGTACGCTCGCTAAAACACACATTTTGCGATTAAAAAAAAAATGCTACGTAAACCTAACTAAACATCGATTTTACACAATCGTGTGACGAACGAAAAACAAATATAGTCTGAACAAAATCCATATTATATTTCAACACAACGGAAAACTCTTCTGAGATGCAGCATTCGAAATTGTAAAAAGAGCGAAAATCAAACCAAAAATTGCATGATCCGCGTCCGTGCGAGTTCGTTATCGAGTCGGCTCGCTGGACCTGCTCGAAACGGCCGAGAATTCTTCCATGTCATCGTCGTCGTCCAGTTTACTGCACGAAGCCGTTTTCGACGGTACTATCGTCTCTGACGGTACCATGTAAATCGAATTGAAGCTGTCCATGTCCTCCAAAGCGGTCTCAAACTGAACAGCCGAAGCATCTTCGATTTCTTCCACGTAGTCCTCGACGTCCTCCTCCATCGTTCGACCATCCTTCGAAGAATCCTCAACCTTACCAACATCGACCGTCAAACTCAATTCCCTGATAGTGTTCTGGACTTCAGCCGTGTCTCTCCCAAGCTGGCCGCCGCTAGGCGACGATTCTGATCGCAGAAAGATAGACGAACCGGGTCGACGGAAATCCTTGAACCTGAACGCCTGAACTTCCGACCGCTCTTCGAGCCCGAAAGATTCTTCCCTCTTCGAAAACTCTGTGTCCATTTCGTCCTCTGTTGTCTCACCCACGAGAGATACATTGGAACTCAGACCCAGCTCCGCTGTTTCTCTTCTGAGCGCGACCGTCATTTCGTCGGCCTCGAAATCCGAGTTCCTGGACGCGCATCTCTCAGTCGTCAAATCCAGGACACCCTGCAGCCGTTCCTCGATCACACGGGATATGTTCATCGTCTCGAAGTCCACGGAGTTCTCGAACGTTTCCTCATTCTCTTCCACGAGCGATTCCTCCCGGACTTTGTCTACGAACCCGGCTTTCTCGATCAGCGTCGACGTCGACGTCGACACCGTGTGCACCTCAAACGGCTTCAGCGCTGGCGTGGCTCTGGAGATCTGCGCGAACGAGCATACCTTCCGGTAGAAGTGCCGGATGTAGAAGTAACACACCTGCAGAAAAAATATCAGGATTATTTTCAGCGACAAATTCTCATCCGCTCCTGCGATCGTGGCATCTCGAGCTGCGTCGACCGGCCGAGGTGTTTCTCGTTGCTCTCGCTTTTCAGCATCTTCGTTGGACTTCAATAGGCCGACATTCTGTTCCCTTCCTTCGCATTCGCCCGCACTTGAGCTGAATCGGTCGACGATGCTTGCAACATCTTCGTCCCTGACGCTGTCTTCAGCTTCTTCCATCGTGCGAATGCCTTCCTCGCAAACTTCGTTAGTAATTTTCTCTTCCTGTTCGTGCTTGTCGAGTTTTCTAACTCCTCCATCATCTTCGCAGCTTTGCTCGAATGTCAGTTCTGAGATGCTCCGACAGTCAACGTCTTCAATTTCATCGACCCTCTGCAACGCTGTCTCAGACTCCTTCGATTGGAAACTGTCTACAATTTTCACGGGGCAAATCTGTTCTTCGCAGGCTCCACTTCCAGCGTCTTCATCGGATAATTCGTCGATGCCTTCGTCAACAGAATCCTCTACTAATTCCTCGTCCCTCGCGCTGTCATCCACGACGTCCGATTCGCTGGCAGCTTCGGAACGCCTTTCTTCGAGCTCTTCGTCCTGAACTGGTTCTTCATCGGACTCTTCGACGTTGATTGTAAGACTCTTTACCATCCGTGCGATGATTTCTTCGAGCGCCGCGTCGCTCGTTTCGGACCGATCGTTCTCGAGTTTCTCGAATTCGATCGACGTGTCCACTTTGGACATCTCGCTGTCGCATGTCTCGGTATTCTGATCGTCTTCGTCGGTCTCTTCAGTTCTGACGCCTGTGTCGTCGTCCGAACACCCTTGCAATATGTCGTACGTTTTATCCAAGCTTGCCCTGTCATCGTCGAACATTGGCGATCCCAGTCCTATAGTGTACTCCATGTCCAAAGAACTAGCGGAAGCGTCGTTCGCGGTAACGAAACTCATATTCGCGATGTCCAAAGTGCTTTCCAACTCTTCGATGATCGGGTTACTTAAGAACTTGGGGCTCAGCGATAGCCTTGGCACGGTGTTCTCCAAATTTGAATCTTGCAAACTCGCCTCTACCTCCTCATCTTCCTCCGTGATTATCGTTAGACCACCCAAATTCGGACCAATTGGTTTCTTCAACTTGACAGCCTGGTTCGCAAGCGGTGGCGAAAGAAGACCATCGAGAATCCGCAAAACATCGGGACTTATCTCGGCTGCTTTGATCACAATCGGGAACTTTATGCTAGTGAAGATGTCCTCCTTGAGCCAGGATATCTCCTCTTTAAACTTCTCGATTTCAGCGATCTTATCCTGCGTCTCGCAGAGGCTCTCCTCATTTTCCAGGATGTTCAACCTCTTCAGTACCTCGGTCACGGACCCGAGAATGTCGTCCACCTGCTCTTTGCAGAGATCGAACACCTGAATACCCTCGAGGTCGTCGATTTTATCTTCGGTTTCAAGATTCACCGATTCAATCTTCTGCTCCGCGGCGATGTTGCCAACGGTGATAGGTTCATGAGGTCCGGTGCCGAGGTCCTGGGTCTCTGGAATGGCAGGCACGATCGCGCGACAGGCCGAGAATTCTTCCTTGAGAATTCTTCCTTCCGAGAATTCTTCCAACTTGCGGTTGTCCTTCAACATAAATTGAGATAGAGGTGTCGCGAGAAAATCTATCAGCTTGAAGGACAGTAAATTGTGCGACACCGTGGACGTGGCGCTGTCTTTTTCTTCCCATGGGACGACGCTGTTGTCTTGGCAGACGACGACGACGTTTCCAACGTCTTCATCTTGCCTTTTGACCGATCCTGAATTCTCTGAAGCCTTTACTCTTCGTTCGATCGACTCTTCCTTTTTCGAGACACCATCAGATGCGGACTCAAAGTCTTCGAGGACTTCTGCACCCTCTTCTTCCACTCTCGGCGGATCCTGATCTTGTTGTTCAGCAGAGTTTCCTGAAAAGAAAGAAAACGAGACACGGATGACGGATGTTACTTGCTTCCAAATCTTCGAATGTTTCAGGCATGCTATGTTATCCTTTTGCTCACCTTTCGCCGCAGCTTCAAGGTCGTCGGAACTGGAGAACCCAGTAGACGCGGCGTCTTCCTCCGCAGACTTCTTCACCAGCTCTTTGTCTTCAGGTTCGACACCGCCAGCATCCGCTCTCGAAGACCGACCTTGAACTCTAGACCCTGGCGGTTCGGCGTCCGCTTTCGCAGGCAACGCGGCACTTCTCGCGTCTTCCTCCGCTAGATTGTGTCCTGTTTTCGCGTCCTTCAGCTTCATGTCGAAAGTCCCCACAGATGCCGCATTCGACATTTCATAGTTCCGTGAAGCATGCCTGAGAACGATATTCTCAGCATCGTCCTTGTAGACACTGTTCTGCAGCTCTCTCGCTTGATTTAGCCAATCCATCGCGAATAGCCTGTCCAAGTTCTCCTGCTTGTTCACAGGCTTGGCAATTTTCGACGACTTCGGGTTGGCCTGCTTTCCGTTCGAGACGCTGCCACCAGACTTTACCGCAGCGTTCGGCGGGGGTTTGTTGCTCCTGGACGACGAACTTGTCGCGTTCGTCGAGTCAGCGGACAGATTTTCTTTGCCTAGATCCCTCCTCGCGAAGAACCTCTTGTAGGAACCCTTGCCGTCTCGCTCCGAAGGCAGCCTTTCGAGCGTCCTCCTCCTGGCATCCAGCTTCTTCTTGTCCTCCAACAACGTGATCTCGTTGTAGGCCTTCAGGGCTCTCAATTCTATCTCCTCCTTCGTCTTCCTAGTCCAAGCCCTCGATCTGGACGTCCTCTTTGAACTACTGGTCGATTGACTACTGTCCATCGATTTCTTCGACTCTGTCTGCTCCGTTCTCTTTCCTGTAGACGATCTCCAGGTTTTGTCGACGGCAGCGGCCGTGTGAGCCTCCTTGTTCTTCTTCGGATAGACCGGGGGCTTTATTCGGTTCGTTTCCGGTCTACGGGTCACCTGGGCCAGCGGCAGGGTCGCCAGACTGTCGACCTTCGATTTCGCGGTCGCTTTGTACTTGTCCTCCCAATTGTCGAGGCTCGTGGGACTGCACTTCTTCTTTAGCTTCTTCATCTTGCACTTGCAGTCCCGCCAGTTCGAGAAGGACTTCGAACCGTTCAGCTTGCTACAGTCGTTCAGGGACGATTTCGACGCATGAGGAGAGTTCGATCGCGTCCTCGAGGACGAGGAGTCTTTCTTCCCGACGGCAAGCTTCGTGTGGGACATCTGGCAGTCGCTTCCTTTCTGATGCTGCGCCTGGTTCTTCTTGCTGTAGTACCTCCAACGGGCCTTCGCCTTCTTTTGGCGAACCGATTCGTCGGAATTCAGGAACGCTGCGCCGACGTAGCCCGTCGTCTGCGTGCCTATATTTTTCGTCGATTTCACGGTGGCCGGTTCCGCGAGGTCTTCTATCTGCAGCAAACGCTTCTCCGGCGGTCGGCAAGCGGCCTCCATCTTAGAGGACTTAGGAGACTCACTGTCCTCTGTGCGCGCCGATCTGCGAGACGTCGATCCGGAAGAGTCGTACCTGTGCAAAAATAATTCGTCAGCGATTCTACAATGTTTTGAACCAGCAACCAAGAAAATCGAGGTTTCCTAATGTAAACAAGAATGTGAAATATTAGGGGGACCGGAAAGTAATGTCGTTTCTGCGCATGTCAGTATTCCTTTCTTTCTTGCATACTAATTTTTGTATACTACATAAAAAAAGGTTGTTGATAATGAGAGTAATTACATCATTGATTGAAAATAAAAACTAGTTAAAAATGTATCTGTTTGAATTTAATGTAAACAAACGACATAACTTTCCGGTCCCCCTAATATTTCGAGTACCGCGGCGGTTCATCCGCTTCGCAGCCCTGTTCGGACGTCAACAACGTTTCAAGGTCCGTCTGGCCCGAGAATAAGTTCCACTTCTTCTTCTCCATTTGCTGAAAGGCGCACTTCAGCTCCGAGTTGTTGGCGAAATCGTTCTGGTAGCAGCCGTCGAAAACCTTCATGAAGTCCTGATAGAACCTCGGCGGGTTCGGATTGTCCGAAGGGCATTCGGGAACGTTCAGCTTCGAGATCTCTATCTCTCCGGGCCACACGTCAGACCGCGGAGTTGCATTCTCCGAGCGATTCGTATCTGAAAAGTTTGAATCGGTTGGTCTTAAAATCAAAGACAAGGGAATCTTATTGTTCAATTACACTGTCCGACAAAATCAAACTTTCTTTCTGGGTTCCTATAGCCACTATGAAATTCTTGTAGAGCTTCACTCCTTGAACAAGAATCCGAAAACCGAATTGCTCCATCGCCCTCAGTTTTTTAAATAAACGAACTTTTGTAAAAACCCAAAATTTTCGACAAAAATGAGGTATTGCATGAAATGTACAAACGTTAGAAAGTTCTAATTAGTGTTAAAAGATAGAGGAGAGTTTCCCGAATATATTGGCATGCAATTTATTAATCGTTTTTGGTCCTTTATAACAATGAATTGATGTTAAAGTTTAAAAAAGTGTCGACGTGCGCAGTTTCTCCGCAATATTTTTGTATTTTTACGAAAAGTTCTTTGTTCAGCACGAAAACTCTACCCAGGATCGGATTCTGTAGACATTTCTGAAGAAGAAACGGCCCGATAGAAGTGTCAGAACGAGATATATTTTGAGTAGGTCGAGAAAATGTTCGTCGGCAACATGTACACGATGTTTTGCCGCCATGTGCTTCGCTGCTCGCTTCTCTCTGTCCGACAGGGCCGAAGCTATGGGTAATCAACACCAATGGAGGGATCCAATGGGCACCCACTTTTCGTAAATGTCTACAGAATCCGATCCTGGGTAGAGCTTAAACTTTTCGTAAAAATACAAAAATATTGCGGAGAAACTGCGCATGTTGACACTTTTTTAAACTTTGACATCAATTTATTGCTACTTAGGGCCAAAAACAATTAATAAATTGCATGTCATTATATTCGGGAAATTCTCCTCTATCTTTTAACACCAATTAGAACTTTCTAACGTCTGTACTTTTCATGCAATATCTCATTTTTGTCGAAAATTTTGGGTTTTTACAAAATTTCGTTTATTTAAAAAACTGAGGGTGATGGAGCAATTCGGTTTTCGGATTCTTGTTCAGGGAGTGAAGCTCTACAAGAATTTCATAGTGGCTATAGAAACTCAAAAATCGTGTCGGACAGTGTCATTGGTAACCATAAATCCTTCTTTCTAGCGTCAGAAAGAATGATTCGAACAGGTTTATTCTTGACGAATACATTGACACCACGAATTCGCCAAACGCATTACCTATGGTCATCCTGTTCATCGACACATTCAAGTCCTTGGCGATGCCCGAAATAATGTCCTGTACGTCGACGGACGCGTTAAAGTGGCCGCCATAGCCGTCCAAGAAGATGTTCGACCTATCCTCCTGCACCTTCCGGAAATCTTGTACGCCGTTGAAGGCACTATTATGACAGCGTTCGCCCGTTTTCATGCTCTTCAGTATCTCCAGGTCGTTCTTCAGCACCTTCTCCATCAGAGGGAAGCCACTGTTCGTGGCACGGTTCGTTTTCACCTCGGTGACGCTGTAAGCGTGGGTGTAAGGCTGATCGGAGGATTTCTTCGAGTTCTCTGGAGGCTGTCCGTCTTCGTGGTTGTCGGAACGTTCTCTGGGCGTGGATGTTGTCATGTCTGTCGCCTTGCTGGCGTCCGAGCGAGATTCTTTGGAGGCAGACTTGGCAGGAGCGCAGCTGCAGATGAAGACAGCCTGCGAATTCACGGGGCTCGGGCTCCTCTCCACGCCTCTTGCGTCATCTTCCAGATCAACTTTGGCCTCTTCTTCCGACCCCGTCGCAGGCTCGATGTCCTTCTCTTGGACCGATGACTCCACCAGCTCCAAGCTCTCCACCTTCTCCGACGCCAGGACTTCCGTTGACACGTCTGCTACGACCGTAACATCTTCTTCGGTATTTTTTGGATTGTTACTAGCTGGATTTTCCAACTTTTCCACTGTCTCCGGAGCATCGCTGTAGGGTTCTATAGCTTTGATCTCTTCTTGGACACTGTACGCGTCGTCGTACTTCTCCGTTGTTGATTGGTGGATTATATTCAGCAGAGAATCCTTCTCCTGGTTCACAGGTGCTTCCAAGTTGTCGTCGTTCTTCGTGTTCTCAAAGTCTTTCAGGTTCTTCGGTTCTTTGTGATTTATAGCGGAGATGTCCGAGACGTCGTCCGTGAATATATCGCTCTAAACAAAAATGTTGACGATGTAGTGCTCGAAATAAAAATGCTTGGAACGTCGAATAATTCGTGACAATAATCGTTGATCGTTTACCCTGTAAATACTGCTGCCGAAGAAGTATCCTTTACTCGCGGTTCTGTCGCCAAGTAAATCGTCATCGTCGTCCAGCTCTGTCAATCTTTTATGTGCTTCTCTCTCCTTGATCCTGCCGAGAGCGTCCGCGACATCCTGTTCGGTGATCCCGAGAAGCTTCTTCGCGTTCTGACCAGGTGTCAGGTCAGGGTTGTAAGTCTCGCAGCTGTCGTACGAGAACAGCGTGGTCAGCGAACCGGTCCTGTACCTCGGCTCGTCGATCTTCACGTAAAGCTGATTAGTCAGCAGATTCGAATCGCTTCTCATCGATCTGCGCAGCTTCCTCATCTTCTCCGTATGTCGTAATTGCAGGAACAAGCAGGAGTTCGAGTACCAGTTGTAGCTGGCCATAACTGAAACGGTGAGGTATGCGTTATTTAGGTTATCCGAGATCGGTGTATCGCAATCGATTCGTGCATTGCTCTTAGGCGAACCGTCTCGATGATGAGACGCGATCGATTAAGATTGCTGATCGATAGTCCGCTGAAACGAACTTGTTCGTTGCAATAAGCAGACCGCGGATCATTATGCGAAATATATATTAGGTTATGTGATAAGTCCGTTCGCGGACGCCTACGAAAAGACAAGGCGAATTACGCGAATTCAAAGCGATAGTTCTGATGAATTTTGAAATATGTTCTCGCGGGACTATTTCCTTGCAACTTAGCTTAAACGGAAGCTGAAAGTGTCTACTTTAAGACAGGTTAGATTATATTGCAATAGAACGACGTGATCATTTTGAACAATTAAAACGAATCGATCTCTGACATTATAGGGTTTGCAAGATTTAAAAGGTAAAGTTCAAATGGATTTTAAGATACGTTCCTGCAGAGCTATTTCTATGCGACTTAGCTGAAATAAAAGCTCGAACTGTTTATTTTCAGACAGGTTAGATTATATTGCAATAGAACGACGTGATCGTTTTCAACAATTAAAAGGAATCGATCTCTGACATTATGGGGTTTGCAAGATTTAAAACGTAAAGTTCAAATGGATTTTAAGATACGTTCCTGCAGAGCTATTTCTATGCGACTTAGCTGAAATAAAAGCTCGAACTGTTTATTTTGAGACAGGTTAGATTATATTGCAATAGAACGACGTGATCGTTTTGAACAATTAAAAGAAATCGATCTCTGACATCATGGAGTTTGCAAGATTTAAAAGTTGCTGTTCCCGACGACGATTTCACGGTACTATATTTTCTTACAAGAAAACGCGAACAGATTTATCCCATAACCAAATAAAAATGTTCTAGATCATTTTTAAGACTCAGGATTTGAATAAAAATCCGTTTCTTTTCTCCATGATTTCAATAGATGAAAAAGAATGGTAGACATATCTTTAAATTCATTAAACGTCTTCATTGCTTGAAATTTCACCTAGTCATTTTTATCACAAATACATAAAATCCGCGGTCCAGGCCAATGAAGTAATAAAAAAGAAAATAATATAATTGTTCGACGTACCCAAGGGAACAAGTTTGATGAAAATGAACTCGAGGAAGACGACCAACGAGAACGGACTCCCGTACCACAGGAGTAGTCCGATCACGATCACGACGACTTCGAGGACGACGTTCTTGAAGAAGCTCAGGATCAGCCAGGGTAACAGCAGATTCGGTCTACTCCAGGTTATTATCGGATAAATGTTTGACAAGTAGGTGAACGTGTAAACGTGGGTAATTACGATTCGCGTTATTACGATCCATGATAGTACTGCGAACAAAACGGGCGGGTAATTAATGGCTGGCTCGATCTTGTTCGTCACTGCGTTGTTTAATTACGAAGAGAGCCGAGACCGACCAGTTTTTATCGTGTCTTCGCCAATTGTATCGACAATCAACGATCTTTGCGGCATGGAGAGATTCCAAATTTGTTCGAGCTTGTTCGTCCATTTTAAGGGACTCCAGTCCAACGTGCTGTTCACCTTCGAACCAAATCGTTCGATTTTTATCGCCTGATTATGGTCTCGGAGGCAATGTTGCGTCGATGCGGATTCACCGACGCCCGATTTTCTCGACGTTGTTCATTTATCGACGACAATACTTCTTCGATGCTCATTGTCGGAACATTTGAAATCGCCGGTAATTAAACAATGTCGTGAAAAATAGCGTCGGCGAAACGAGTGTAATTTCGGTCGCTGAAATTAACGTTGGAGACCGGATTGTCAACCCGGTTTCTTCAACTGAATCATTTTCAACCGAAATTTTGCAATGCAGCATCAAAAATCAGTGCGCAGAACATTTGTCATTTCTTCATTTTTTCATTTCTTAACAAATCAAGCTTACGGTCTGTGTGTGTATGTGTACATTTAAAAGAAAATGGATTATCTCAATCTTGACACGCAGTAATCGGAACGTCCGCAGTATTTGGCTCGCAGTAATAAGTACATAAACATAATAATATATGCACGCGTATGATTTCTTTACATTACGTTTTTTAATGAAATTTGTGCTTTCAGAGATCCAGTATTTTGAGAAAAGTAAATACTCAAGTTAAAGAATAATAGGAACAGCTCAAGTTGTGTGTGTGTGTGTCAATTAATTGACAGAAAAGGTCTTATTTTCTCTATCAAACTTCGCCTTCATTGAGAAACCGCAGAAGAAATAGAACAGAAGCATAGATGCAACAGCACACAATTTAAATTTCTAGTTTCTCGCGTGGAAAGCGAAGCTTCATAAACGTCTATTTAACACTGAAAGGAAAGGTGTACAAAATTATTTTACAAAGAATTATTTACTCTATGGAAACAGTTCTCGATAGCTACATCTAATCGATTACGAATTCATCGATTTCTCAAGCCAACGCCCAACGGCCTTCCCGGAAGGTAAAGCACCAAACGAAAGATTATAAAAGGTTAAAGAGGTTACGAGATGTTGAGTTAACGAGAGACGAAATAGATTGTTCATTTACCAAGCCGAATATGTTCATTATCAATAGTTCCGTCCGAAATGATAAGCCAACGAAGCGTCCGAGCAAGCTAGGCATCAGGAACACGAAACTTTCGTAACAGCCGGAGAACCAGCGAGTCTTCGATTCGAGGGACGATCATCGTCTACCCTGTACGACGATTTGAAGAACGCAATATAATCCGGAACCACTTTTTCAAGAGTCACTCGTAAATTTCGCAGTGGGTCGAGGCTGGTCCGCGGACGCGTTAATTTTCTACGCGTTCGGTACTATGAGCGCGTTTGACTGGCCGAAAACTTGGTTAGCCGAACAATCGAGCGACGATCACCGGGAAATAAAAGACGATCAACGGCTGGGATTTCTATTCGCTTTTTTCAATCCGTGACACGTGTTCACAGAAATCGCATGGTGTTTACCAAGGAAACATCGCATTTATTATTTCTATATCTTTGTTATTTATTATTTATCTTTGTTATTTATTATTTTTCTCCGTTATTTATTATTCATCTTTATTATTTATTATTTATCTGCGAACGAAGCAATCTTTGTTTTTTTTCTGTCTCTTCACTTACTTTCATTTCCAGACGTTGATAACAAAGGAAACAAATCCCGTTTCGATTTACGGTGACTGTCACTTAACACTTAGCCAACCGAATGGGGAGATCTGCCCGTTTTAAATTCAGTCGATTGATGAACGATTGAGGAAATCTTCCATGACCAATTAAAAATGACCGCTTAATTTTATTAAGATTTGCAAGAAGTACGAATGGTGAAGAAGTAATTGATGCCATACAAGTTTGCTTCGTAATTTTTGTTTAATTGAATGAAATACACCAAGGAATTCCGCCGATTTTCACTTATAAAGCGTGATTGATAATTGTTGGAAATTACTAAAACGCATATATAGACATGTGGTTCAATACTTCTTTATTTAACTTTATTTAATATTTATATAACAACACTTGTTGTTACATGTATACAACAAAACTTTTAATAATTATTATTATTAGTAAGTGAGCACAATGCGACATTAACCACCATGATTCATTACAAAAGATCTTTTATTTACGTTTGATTTGATTTTTTATTTGAAGTCCAACGATGGATACCGAATGGAGGTACGGTCTAGAAACCGGCGCTTATTAGAAAGCATTGATTCCCGGTTCAAGGCTGTTTTAAACAGCGTCCTTTGGCCGTCCAGTTGGTTCGGTAGGAAAGAGCATACGAGCATTTACACACGGTGCATCGCGACCTCGATTCCGAGCTACTTGAAACCGTGCCCGCGTGATCCGCAACGGCACCGCGAACCCTTCTGCGTTTGATGCAGCCGCATCGCGCCGGTGGGAGGAGCGGCTTTCCACAGAGAGAGGATCATTCATCTCTGGAACAGAGCCTGCGAACAAGTGTACGCCTCTTCGAAAGAGACGATTTCCCTTCTATCGACGCTGCTAAGTGGTCGTGCGTTTGTTATGGCTGTGCGTATAAGCCCGGCGTTTCAGCCGCTGTTTCTTCTAGTTCGAACGGTTCTACGAACCCAACTGCGTCGAATTTCCCATAATTATTGCCGTCCGGCTCTAGCTACGCTCGTGGAATGCCTCTAAACAAATAATTGCACCATCTGGATGAATTGTTCCGATGATGCGAAAGCTAGTCGCTTACTGTGCGCTAGAAAATTTTCACTGAGGCGCTGCGGTTTTTGATAAATTATCTACATATAGATAATTATAATTTTTATACCGATAATAATAATAATTATTATATATATGATATAAGTTATATAATTATATATATAATGTAAATTATATAATTATTTATATATAATATAAATCATATAATTATTTATATATAATATAAATCATATAATTATATTAGGTCTACCGGAAAGTTCTATCTGATAATGTCATTGCAAATTTCAATAGATATGCACATATTCATGTAAGACATATATTTTTGAAAAATGTTGCTCACAAATTGCCATCACGCTGGTAAGAGGTAATAAGTAACGACGGAAATTATATTGTACAATAAATATTACTAAATTTATGAAAAATCTATTATTTGCTTTCATTCCTTAAACGGACAGAACTTTCTGGTAGACCTAATATATTCTAATATATATAATAATTATAATTATATTATGATAGCGATTTAATTGTTTACCCGCAGTAATACATTTTCAAGAAGAAATTTATAATAGTTGCACGCGATACGAAAGATTAAGCGTACGAACGCTTTATATTGTCTTATCTCACTGTTATTAAACAATTAAATGGTTGTCCTTATTTTGTAGCACCTAAAAGACTGGATGCGAGCAAGTGAACATTATATACACATTATTTGAACGATCGTATAATTTATTAATAAAAGAGCATTTATTTATCTCCTGTTTTATTTCGCAATTCTTTAAAAATTATATAGCAATTCATCTTTTGCATCGCAAAATTTCGGAGGTCCATCGATCTGTGAAGATAAGGTTACGAAAAGCAAATCTTTTGGAAAATACGCCTGTGAACTATAGACCGTCCTACATCGCGTGTAACTAGGTTGCATAATGCCAGGAGTAAAGGAGCGAGCCAGAAATTGTTAGCGATCTTATAATGTACTTTCGACTTTACATCGATCCGTGTACTTGTCGTATATGCTTTGTTTATCTGGAAAACTCCTCAAGACCAAAACGTTTGCTATATCTGTTAGCACATCGTTGCTAAAAACATCGCGACGCACTGCTAATTCCAACTCAATTAATCCGAATTCCAATCTGATTCCAACGACCTTCCCTGACCAACTCCATTTAATCCGACCGATCTCCCACTCCACTCCCTCGTTCCATCCTTCAACGAGCTTAATCCACTTCATTAAATACGGTTCCTGTTTACACGGTACTCTTCGCCAATTTACCGTTCAAGTATACAATCAACTCTCCATTGTCCTGATAACTCTGAATCAGTTTTTTTTTTATACTTACTAACAATCAATTTCAATCTTTAACCGAGTAACACTTTCTTCTCCATGAACGCACCCCTCTGCCCTGAACATTTCTCTACATGAGAAAGTAACATTTATTATTCTTTTTTTATATTAGAAATTGTACAGTAATTTTCTACGCAATTATACATATGCCACGACTTGCAGATATCGTTTTGAAAAAATGTATAAACGTTAAGTGTTCTGTATGAGGAAGTACGGTTATTATTACTTTCTTACATGAAAATTTAGCGACCAGTTTCATACATTTTTATACGCCTACTATGTCGCGCAGACTTTATTCTGTTTTGTGAATTTATTTAAGTCAATTCATTGATCGTTCGAACCTATGAATTTAGAAGTAAAACAGCTCGTTTGCGACGTTATCGTTCGGCAGATCAAATAACGACTATTTTAACAAACATGCAGCTCGTGTGTCCATTCACTGTAAACATTTGCGTTACTTTGACCAACGTTAAAACTCCAGCGACGCATTGTTTAACAAACTGGTCCACCTGACACCTAAAAAAGAACTGACGTCGCTTGGTGAAATTTGAAGCACAGTGTTCCATCTAAAAAATTATTGAACGACATTAGTGAGCCAATGCATACAGGGTGTCCCATAATTACGTTAACACCCGGAAAGGGATGAGATAATTTCAAGTAACTTTTTTTTTCCTCGGCGAAAATGCAATCCGCGGCTTTGTTTACAAGTTACCAACGAAAAACAGAGATCAATGAGAGGGGCGAGCTCGGCTGGCGCGACAGGCGGCCGAGTCAGTCAGTGGAACTAGGCTTCGACCGTTGATTGGCTCGACCGCCTCCCGCCAGCCAAGCTCGCCTCTCATTGGTCCCCGTTTTTCGTTGATAACTCGCAAACGAAACCTCGAATCGCATTTTCACCAAGGAAAAAGTTACTTTAAATCACCTCAGGAATCACCCGTTTCCGACTATTAACATAATAATGGGACACCCTGTAGTCTCGTGCCTTCTATCAGGAATAGGACGACCAAGGAGCTCGGAGAGCGAAGGGTTTCCGTCGGCCGGTCACCGGTGACCGCCGGCATCGTTTTCACCAAGGATCTGCGACGGCATCAGCCACGGCGGAGACAAGAAAACAGTGTTGCGGAAAACGATATCGATTCGGCGTTGCGGTGCTGTGTTGGTTAGCCACTGGCGGTGTAGGTGCACGCGCGCCGCCTCGTAGGTGTACCGCGTCGCGGTTTGCCGCGACGGCGTATACTGTTCTTGGCACAGTTTCTGACCATCTCCTATTGCGAGCGGACCGCGCGCGCTGGACCTAAGCGTGATTTCGTCGCGCCTCAAGGTACACAGACGCTTCTATTTCTCTTCTCTCCTCCATCCTCGCTTCGCTCTCTCGCCTTCTGACACCTTCGCCCGCGTTACAGTTTTCGTCGACCAACCCCGCCGCCGCCGTCGCCGTCGTTGCGAGCCACCCTTCCCTTCCGCCACTCGGGACTAATCCGTTTCCGGTCCGGTGCCATCGAAAAGTGAGTAGACCGATCCAGTTGCTTTATTTCGTCTCGAAACGACCGTTGGCCGACGCTGAACCGTGCTGGACGTTTCCGGGGCCGGAAGTTCGTGCCACTTCCCGCTGCGCCTTTTCGCTAGGAAATGTTATTTAATTACTACCGAAATGTCTACCGAACGTAGTGCGCGGATTCTGACGCTTCGCCGAGGCGCCTCGTGTCCTGTGCCGGAGGAAATTGTGCTGTGAAGTAATCCGCGGACCATCCGCGGAGAGTTTCGGGAACCGGGACGTTCAAAAATGAAAAGTAATTTTGTGCGTGGAATAATGGACCGCGACTTTCGCGACTTGGCAATCGCATTTGGCAAGTGGCATCAACTTTGCGCACGAATTTTATTAAACGAATGCCGGCCGTGCAGTAATTTCTCCCGAATTCGCGCTCGGATTGCGAATTAGGAAGAAAAACGGACAATTTGGGAAGAGGAGACACGATTGTTCGGGTCTTGTCTATATTTTTATAGTCACCAGTTGTCGTCAACTATAAAAACTGTCCGCAAGGCTCGAATGATCGTATCTCCTCTTCCCAAATTGTCCATTTTTCTTCCTAATTCGCAATCCGAGCGCGAATTAGAGAAAAAAATGGACAATTTGGGAAGAGGAGACACGATTATTCGGGCCTTGTCTATATTTTTATAGTCACCGGTTGTCGACAACTATAAAAACTGGCCGCAAGGCCCGAATGATCGTATCTCCTCTTCCCAAATTGTCCGTTTTCGTGCGCGATCTAAGCGCGAATTACGGAGACATTGAGAACACTATTGTATTGGCGAGGTTCCGCTTAGAATTGTGCGTTCACACAGTGCTCGAGAATGGAGAAAATGATGTTGGCAACAACGACAGTAATTTTATTTGATGGTGGCGCTTCGATGCACAAGGACAAGGATTTGGTCAAAGATGTGTTTCGAATACGTTTACACTAAACCTATTGAGTTCTAAAGATGCCTGACTCGCGTTGCTATTTAAGAACTGCAATACTGAAATTATTTAGACGTCTAGCTATCTTCGTTGTAATCTGCGCTTAAGTGATGTCATTTATTGAATCATTTTCTGAGAAAGGCTATTTATAATGTCAAACAGTTTTGAAATAAACAATGTAGAACCGGTCAGTTTATCCGGAGTGGTTGGTTCACAGAGACGCGGCTATGAAATCATTTTTGGATGGGATTCGCGCGAAAGACAATTTTATCGGAAAAACAGTCACGTTTTTGCTTACATTGTCTCGAGTGGGAACATTTAGGAACCATCTGTTAAGCGAATACGCTCGTTCCCGGACGACATCGCGGACTTTTTTTAACCCTTTGCAGCGCGATTTCTTTCACAGCTACGTTGACGTAGCAAGTCTTTGCCACTAATGAGTTCATAGACGAGAAAGAAAAATGTATATTTATTGCATGCAAGTTAATGTAATTTGGTAAGGTTTGTGGTGAAAGATGTGAAAATTTTGTGAATAGTGGTAATTACAAAGTTCATAAAGGAGCACATTAAGAAATGAAAGTTTTAGTTATTGAATACGTTAAGAAAATTAGCTTTCTTCAAATGCATTAAGAAAATTGACCTTCTTTAAATGTATCAAGAAAATTAGCTGTCCTCAAATGTATTAAGGAAATTAGCTGTCCTCGAATGTATCAAGAAAATGAACTGTCCTCAAATGTATTAAGAGAAGCAACTTTCTTCAAATACATTAAAAAAATTAACTGTCCTCAAATGTGTCAAGAAAATTAACTGTCCTCAAATGTATCAAGAAAATGAACTGTCCTCAAATGTGTCAAGAAAATTAACTGTCCTCAAATGTATCAAGAAAATGAACTGTCCTCAAATGTGTCAAGAAAATGAACTGTCCTCAAATGTATCAAGAAAATTAGCTGTCCTCAAATGCATTAAAGAAATTAACTGTCCTCAAATGTATCAAGAAAATTAACCGTCCCCAAATGTATCAAGAAAACGAACTGTTCTCAAGTGCACTAAGAAAATTAACTGTCTCCAAATATAACCAGCAATAAATTAATTAATTAAATAAGCCGTTTAATAATTAATTAATAGTAAAAAATTAATAAATTAAATAAGCCGTTTATTTTGAAAGTGGCATAAGTCACTTTGTTTTTAAGTCGATATATTCAAGGGTTTGCGTTTTTTCTCAGTATACATAATTTCGTATAAACATTAAAAGATCACCACTTTTCATTACGGTGAAGTGACTTATGCCACTTTCAAAATAAACAGCTCAAATATTGACAACAGGAGAGCAGAGTTTAATTTCGTTTTAATGGAAGCGCCTAACGTCTATATTTAGTGGATTACGTGCGAAATCTTCGTCAACGAGCCCGACACGTTGTTATACCCCGAGGGGTTAACGAGCGTGAACCGATCGCGGACCTTGGAAACGGTGTGACAGGAATCGTTGCACGCGGAAATTAAAAGCAACCGAGGAGATGTTGGCGCGGTGACGGGCCATCGACAGGCGATAATTGTTCCCCCTTGCAATTGCTGCAAAAGCAAACATGTTTCCGTCGTCGCGCGTCGGTTGCCAGCCTGCTCGTAAATATTTACGATCCGCCGATCGGTATTGTGAAATCGAACACCACGCTTTTCTGTCCCGTTCCGGCGGAGTGCCGCGTTGAATTGAAAAATTTTCGAAATCCTGTTTCGTTCTACCGACACATATAAAAATAAAAGAAATACAATTTCGACGGCGATTCTTCTTATAAAAATCAGGCGTCTTTGTCGGAAAGCTTACTTCTAAAAAGAAAAAGAGAATTACAATAATTATAATAATTATAACAATTACAATAATTATACGTTCTTGGAAATTGTGTGATTCTTTCTATTTATTTGTTTATTTCTCTTTTCATCGTTATTCTTGCTTTTCGATTTCGGATGACTTTCTGTTACAACCGTCTAACTTACAGTTAACTTAACCTATTGTTATTTAATATTTCATATTAATATTAATATTAATACATAATATTAATAATATATTATTATTGTATTATTATTAATTAATATATTATTTTTTATTATTATTATTACAATAATTATACGTTCTTGGAAATTGCGATTCTTTCTATTTATTTGTTTATTTCTCTTTTCATCGTTATTCTTGCTTTTCGATTTCGGATGACTTTCTGTTACAACCGTCTAACTTACACTTAACTTAACCTATTGTTATTTAATTATTAATATTAATATTAATATTATTTAATTATTATTAATTTAATATTTAATATTGATTCCAATTTTCCTTGGTTCTTCATTTAACGTTTACGTTCCCTCTGCCAGAAGTGATTCTGTCTAAATCGAAAATAATAAATATATAATAATAAATAAATAATATATAATAATAAAAAATGTATACTAAATAATATATATAATATATATGTCTAATAATAAATATATAATAAATAAATTCTGTTTAAGTCAAAGGTTACAATTTCCACGGATTTCGCTATTGCAAATACCAAGACCTCTTTTTGCTAGAACAGAAAAATATTACGCGGGGTCGTTACATCGCATCGATAATATTACCGAAGTGCATAAATTAAAGGAAATCGATCCGCGTAATCTTCGAAGGATTCCAAATGAAATTCTCCGGTCGAGCCTGTTTAAAAACGTGTGTGTTACGATGAACCTTCGGTACGCGACAGGAAAACTGTCCGTTATTACAGTAATTGACGGTGACCGTCGGGAATTGTATAATCGACTACGGCGTATGGCACAGTCGGTTCCTTCGACTGTGCCAGAAAGGCCAGACGCACTGGCTTTTTCTCATATTTCTCTTAATTTCGAGGCGCATTAAACTTCGCGTTGATGCGACGAGCGTCGTTCGTTTTATTCGTAGCCGAGGCGAACGCAAGACTTTCGTAAATAAAAACATTTGCAACATACAAGGTCTAAGAAACTTACGAACGAAGCCGGTCACGAAATCTTCCCGGGGACAGTTTTCTTTTTTTTCTTCAAAAGTTTATTGTCAGTGTAATTATGGACGAGAGAGAGAGAGAGATAAACTTGTTCGCTGTGGCCGCGTTAACGTTGCAATGTAAAAAGAGTGCAACCCGCGCGGCGGGCGTGCGAGCGATAAATATTGCCGCGTGTGTTTGTCATGCAAATAATTTGTAAAATTCCGTCGCCGGTACTGGGAACGCGTCAAGATAACGGCGAGCCTACGCGCGATGCCATTATTACAATAGAGAATGGAGGGAGACGGACGTCGATCGCGAAGAGAACGCATGAAGTAACGTTCTTCGAATTCAGCGTCGCCTCTGTTTGGCGAAAACAGTAATTTCTGCTTAATTCGAGCTCGGATCGCGCACAAAAATGGACTATTTGGGAAGAGGAGGCACGATTATTCGAGACTTACGGCCAGTTTTTATAGTTGTCGACAATCGGTGTTTATAAAAATATAGGCAAGGCTCGAATAATCGTGTCTCCTCTTCCCAAATTGTCCATTTTTGTGTACAAGCTGAGCATCGATTAGGGAGAATTTACTGTATTTCTTTGTTTCTAAGATGAAAAACCTGATTCATGAAATCTGTAAAACGCGGCATACATTTCGAAAAATGATACGATACTACAATGTAAAAGAAATATTTATATTTTTACAGTACAAAGATAAGTTGTTGCAACTTTTCAGATTTTTCGGTAAGATAGCGTCGGCTTAAAAAGCGATAATAATTCGAAACTGAAGGAAATTGAAAGAAGGAAAGTAAATAATAATTGATTATGAATAAAGCAATGCAATATTCTTAATAAAATAAACCCGATTGTTCGTCATAAGAAAAAACACCATAGTTTCAAATTCAACGAAGGTCAAATGTTTTACTGTACCAACTTTCGGGTCGCATACTTGTCTTCATAGATTTATGAAAAGGTTAAAATAGATAACAAAGTTAAAAGACGAGCATTTTTTATCTTTCCCTTTTTGTTAATTCCAAGTACAGTAAATTCTCCTTAATTCACGCTCAAATT